GTAATACTGAAGACTTTAATTGCAGTCAAAACGGGGTTTCGAGTGACCTTTCAGCCTTTTCAGTATTTATTGATAATTACGATGAAGTACCAACAAAACACTGTAGAAATAGACTGATTAGAACTTAGAAGATTGATCAGTATTGTATTTATTATTGCTGTAAGTTTCAAAAGTTTAGTGATAATCTGAACCCGGGATAACTTCTTACTAAGCCTTTTCATATCAATTAAAATTAAATTGATAATTTCAGTTTAAATTATATTTAGTAGTGTCAGTGGACCCTCTAATGTAATTCTAACACCACCCAAAACGTTCAAAGATCATCTTGACAATGTATTGCCAGTGGCGGGTACAGTTTGGAGCACAGCTGTTGTTTCTCCCTTAAATGAGAAAAATATAATTTTTCTTTTATAAAAACATCAAAAAACATTTCGACCTCGTTCCGCTCAGCAAAATTATTATGGTTACACCCTCATAACCTCATATCCTAGATCGTCCCCTATATGCCATCCTCTTCTATTTGTACTAGGTTATTGAGTAACGTGTGTTTCATTTCATTTCATTCACATTTTGTAAATAACATAAAAAAAGCGTTTTACTGAGAGTATGTTTCATTATACCACAGGACAGCACTTCATATTTCTTACACAAGGATTTTTGTGGGAGTTTGATTGTATAAAATGTTGTTAATATGTAATATATTTGTTATTAAAATATGATTATGTCACAAACAAATATTGTGCATTTGTCAAAATAGATTACAAATGTTTTTGTCAGTTTGATCTGTGTTTGTTATTTTACTTTGTGATGTATTATCAGTATATTGATTGGAGGGGATTGTGGCACATGGAGTTCTCTTTCTTTGATCCACGGTATATTGATATGAGGTGTTGCGGAACTTGGAGTTCTCTGTAGTTGGTCAACATTTACTCGCATAAAGTAATTCAGACTATTACCACTTAAGTAGGGGCTCAAGTCCTTTCTTGATACCAAATGTCTATTATTCGCCAAATAAGGTCATGATGATAGTTAAAGTATGTTTTTTGTTGAGCCTGTGATATTCATTTCGCGAAATCGAGACATAGCGATCATAGATTCCGTCATCGGCGTCAATATTTAGGTTCAGTCTAAGATTAAAGACATCAACAACTTTGTCAAACCTACATGGAGTTTTATGATATTTGGACAGAAGCTTATTTATGACCAAAAGACAGTATCCAGAGCAAAATTTTTAAAATATTTATTTTCATTTTTCCATATTTTACTGATAAATGGACTTTGTTTTTTTTTACAGTTAACATTCAGATTCAGTCTGAGGTTAAAGTTTTTCAGTCATCAATAACTTTGTCAAACCTTCATGGAATTTTATGAAGATTGGAAAGAAGCTTGTTTATGAACAAAAGACAGCATCCAGGGCGAAATTTCGAAAATATTTATTTTCATTTTTCCGTATTTTACTGATAAATGAACTTAGTTTTTCTTTACAGTTAATAAGAAGATACAGTCTGGGGTTTAAGTTTGTTACACATCAATTACTTTGTCAAACCTTCATATAGTTTTATGAAACTTTGGCAGAGGTCTCAAGCAAACCTTTGAAAATATATTTTTTTCATTTTTAGTGGGTTTTTTTGATAGATGGACTTACCCGGTAGTTTTTTTTACAGATAACATTTACATACAGTCTGGGATCACATGGTAAATTTAATTTGTAAACCTTCATGGATTGTTATGAAACTTGGACAGAAGCTAATCTTCAAGACCAAGAAAAAGCACATAAAGAAAAGTTTGATTTTTTTTTTTTAAATTCTGTATTTTACTGATAAATGGACTTTTAAGTCAACATTACACTTTTACACTGACAGCAGCAATCGCAGGCGAGGCACAGGGTTCCGCGGAACCCCTTACCAATTTAAAAAAAAACTCATCAAAGACACCAGGCTTATAGTTTGGTACGCTGACCCTTGTATAGTCTACATAAGACTCATGAGTTGCAATCGAATCAAAACATCAGTCTTTTGAAATCTTTACACAAGCCATAGCTATAAAATGTAATTTCTGTTTGTTTTGATTGAATGGTTTTGATATAGTTTTAAGTGCTTTGGTTCTTGCTTGTCTGAAAAATTGCTGTCACCAAAAATACTGTGCATTGTCAAAAATGAAAAAAAAACATTTCTGACAGGTAAGAATTGTTGTTTTCATATTTATAAAAATCTGAATGTTATTCAGAGATACACAGACTCACAGTGCTGTTTGACAGCAATTTCGATCAGATATGATTTTAATAGTAAAAGAGTGATTTTTTTGTTTCATTCTAGGCAAATTTGAATGTTAACAAGACAAGGTAATATATATAAAGACTTCTGTACAATTTTCATATATACATATATCTATTAAATTCAAATGATATTCATCACTATACATTACTGTTGAACACAGTTAAGATACAACACCACAAAAGAGGGTTTCCATAAGGGCCGCACCATATTTGGCCTAAAAAATGAAGCATTACCAAATCAGGTGATTTTGGTTAAAAAAAAGTTGGTAGCACATGCAAGTACCTGCATAAATATTTACTTGAGAACCTAATCATATAGAAACTAAGTTCTTTGTGTCTATCGTTTTTATTGTCCCCTGCGTAACGCGTTGCGGGGGACATAGAAATACCGGGCGTCCGTCCGTCCGTCTGTCCGTCCGTCCGGTCTTGTTATCGCTCTCACGGGTACAGTTCTTGCCAGATTTTTATAAAACTTATACTATAGGTTAATATCAGCAATATCTCGGACAAGTTCTATAATGGTGGACGATCGACTTTTTTAAAAAGAGTTATGCATCTTGGAAATATTAAATTTATGGAAAATGGCCTTGCTAGCGCTCTCACGGGTACAATTCTTGCCAGATTTTTATAAAACTTATACTATAGGTTAATATCAGCAATATCTCGGACAAGTTCTATAATGGTGGACGATCGACTTTTTTTAAAAGAGTTATGCCCATGGGAAATATTAAATTTATGGAAAATGGCCTCGTTAGCGCTCTTACGGGTACAATTCTTGCCAGATTTTTATAAAACTTATACTATAGGTTAATATCAGCAATATCTCGGACAGGGTTTATAATGGTGGACGATCGACTTTTTTTAAAAGAGTTATGCCCATTGGAAATATTAGATTTATGGAAAATGGTTTCGTTAGCGCTCTCACGGGTACAATTCTTGCCAGATTTTTATAAAACTTATACTATAGGTTAATATCAGCAATATCTCGGACAAGTTCTATAATGGTGGCCGATCGACTTTTTTTTAAAGAGTTATGCCCCTTGGAAATATAAAATATGTGCAACGCGAGGGACATTGGAACTCTGTTCTTTTATTTGAGGTGTTTTTTGTGCCTGTCCAAAGTCAGGAGCCTTCTATTCAGTGGTGTCGTTGTTTATTTCTGTGTGTGTCGAATTTTTTATGTCCCTGTCGTAGGCAAAGGGGGCATTAAGTGTTACCCTTGACCTTCCGTCCGTCCCATTTTCGTTTCCGCACTCTTACTTACGTTTGCCTCATGCAAACTTTATGAAACTCATAAACAATGCTACATACCATATCACACAGACAGAGTTTGCATTTGGGCAGTGAGTAGCTTACCGTTCTAGGGTTATGCCCCTTTATAATTTGGAAAATTACAATTTTTTTCGTTTCCACACTCTTACTTAAGTTTGCATCATGCAAATTTCATGAAACTCTTACACAATGCTAAGAACCAAAAATGCCAGACAGAATTCGAATTTGGGCAGTGAGCCGCTTCTCGTTCTAGAGTTTTGCCCCTTTATAAATTAAAAAAACGCAAATTTTTCCGTTTCCGCACTCTTACTTAAGTTTGCCTCATGCAAATTTTATGAAACTCATATACAATACTAAGAACCTAAACTGCTAGACAGAGTTTGAATTTGGGCAGTGAGTCCCTTATCGTTTTAGAGTTATGCCCCTTTTTAACTTGGAAAATTGCAAAGCTTGAGCAGGGGCATTCGTTTCCTCAGACACATTCTTCCTTTATTTTCATTAATTGTATTGTTATAAATTAGGCTGTTAGTTTCTCGTTTGAATTGTTTCACATTTTTCAAGTCAAGGCCTTTTATAGGTGACCTTACGGTATGGGTTTTTCTCATCGTTGAAGGCTGAATGGTGACCTACCATTGGTTATATCTTCGTCTTTTGAATTCTGATGGAAAGTTGTCTCTAATTGCAATCATGCTACATCTCCTTATTTTTGTCTCGCCTTGACGGAGTCAAAAAGCGAGGCCTTTTATACTTACCTAATCACAAACTAGCTTTTTGACTCCATCAAGGCGAGACAAAGGTCATTGTCTATTGACTTAAAACTTTTGCATAGTTTACATGTTGAAGTTTGTGATTAGGTCAGTTTAAGGGGAACCACTTATGATAAGTCAATGATATTTAGTATGCAGTTGTACATGTATCAGCATTGGCATATCTTATATCTCAGATACTATTTGGCCCTGGTCCTTCAGTCATGGTCCATTGACTTTTGAGTATTGAGTATTGTGCATACTTTACATGATAAATTATTGCTATTTTAATTTCAATATTTGCATTTTGCCATCAAAATTAAATGCAGGTAAGACATATCTTTGTGTCAACAGTTTATTATGCTAAAACTAATTGTAAAGAAATTACAAAATCTGTACAAAAAAAAGGTGGAGAAGCCAGCCCATCTTTTCTGCGATGTTAAAACTGCAGTCATTGTAATATTGTTGAAAAGTAACTCTAAAACAAATATAAATTGAAAGCTTAATCAAAATTTAAAATTAAGTACAAAAAAGGCTCTGTCCTTGTACATGTTTTTTTTTGTGGTAGAATATTACCATAAAAGATAGGATGTGAAATACCTGAACGTATAAGATGTCTGCACGTTGATTTATATTAACAAATGATGTCCTTGTACCGATGATAAAATGTAGTAAGTGTTAACTAATTGGTTTCATATATCAGAAATAAAATTTAGTTCGTTGTCCGTTCATGAATATTCATGACATGTGACCATTCGTTTGCACTTAAAACCCGTGCGGTCATCTTTCTGACCATCGACTCTCGCTATAGCCTAAAGAAGAGACACGTGTATTATGTCTGAAGAAGAAATTTCGGTAGTTGAACAAATGGACGAAAGTCAACTTTTAAAAGAAGACGACAGTGATCTTTCAACAGCTGATGCAGTTTCTTTATTTAATAGTTCTTTGAATAAAGCTCTACAAAGACAGAAAAGTGAAATTTTGTCGGAGTTCAAGAAGACACAAGTAAGCTCTGTAAATTCAAATACACGCACTATCACCAGCGGTCAATCCTCTACTATTGCTTCCCAGCCTCCGGTTTTTGATTTTAGACAAGAAGGGATTAAGATTCAGTTCAATTTCAACACTGACCGTATTTCAGCTTTGAGAAGAATTGAACATTTGCTAAATTCCGAGTCACTCAACCAAACACTTGATCTACAGTCTATTGTTAAAACTGAACTTGACACTTTAAGCCAGCGCAATAAGATTTTGAAAATTGCAGATCGCCATGGGTGGGATACCGTTCATGAATATCTGGACGATCCTCTTGCTGACAGTGTTGAAGATGCTTCAAAACTACGAACTGCCGTTTTCAGAGCTACCCGTAAGCGTACAGTTAACAAGCCTTACAGCGGAGGTGGTGGCAGAGGAGGCTTTAATGCTAGAGACTTTTTTCGTGGCTTCAGCAAAGAATCTAGGCCCAGAAATGACAACTACAGTCAGCAAAACAACTTCCAGCAGCAGTACAACGACGGACTGTGCTTTTACTGTAAAAGGCCAGGTCACACTGCCCGATTCTGTCCCTACAAACGACGTACATTCAGCAGTACCAAGTCAGCACCAGCCACTATTACAAGTGCACCACCCCTGTCTTAATGAAAAAGTTGAGTATGATATAGAATTTAAAAGTTATGAATACACTGATGGAAATAAGACTGTGAAAAATCGATTAAAAGATCATGTTCAGTTTTGGGAAGATAGTTTAAAGCCTTCTGAATTAGTTTTAAGCACTGTAAAATTTGGTTACGTTATTCCTTTTATTCAAGAACCTCCATCAGTTTATTTGAATAATAACAGATCAGCATTTAATAATTCTTCATTTGTTTTGAAAGCTATTACAGATTTAAAAATGAATGGCTGTATCACTGAAGTTTCAAATAAACCTTATGTAATAAATCCTCTGACTGTAGCTATTAGTGATACGAAGAAAGAGAGATTAGTTTTAGATCTGAGACACGTTAACAAATATGTACAAAAACAGAAAATAAAATTTGAAGGCGTTAAAGAGGCCAAGCAATACGCAAAAAAGGGTTTTTTCATGTTTAAATTCGATTTACGTTCTGGTTATCATCACATTAATATACATCCAGAACATCAGAAATTTCTAGGTTTTTCCTGGGTAATTGATGGACAAGAAAGATATTTCATTTTCTCAGTTTTACCTTTTGGACTATCTTCTGCTGGACATATTTTTACTAAAGTTGTTCGTACATTAGTTAATTTTTGGAGATAACAAAGTTTCCCGATCATTGTGTATTTGGACAACGGATGGGCTTGTGATAACAAGGAAAGGTGTTTACGTATGTCAAAATCTGTTTTACATACTTTATTGAAATCTGGGTTTTTACCAAATTTTGAAAAATCTATTTTTTCACCAGTGCAAAAATTAGACTGGTTAGGTTTTTCATGGGATCTAATATCTGGTGTTATTGAAGTTCCCTACAATAAAATTGAAAAAATACAGTTCAAAATCGAAAAAATTCTTTCAGATAATCGTTCAACTGCTAGAAATTTGGCATGTGTTCTCGGGAAGATTATATCTTTGATTCCAGCTTTTGGTAACATTTGCCAATTGATGACACGTAATTTATGCATGTCTGTTTGCCAGAGAAATACTTGGGACTCGTATTTTGAAATTCCCACCCAAGTCAAAATCGAACTGGAATTTTGGAAAAGTAATTGTGAATATATACCAAATTTATTAGTGTGTCCTATACACAAGATTCCAGAACGAATTATTTTTTCCGATGCCAGTATGTATGCTGGAGCAGGTTTTATCGATGGCAATGTTTTACAAATTGCTCATAATATGTTTAGTGAACAAGAAAGACTTAAGAGCTCCACTTGGAGAGAGTTGAAATCTTTTGAGTTTCTTTTAGAAAGTATGTTTGCACAGTTAACAGGAAAACTTGTAAAAATTTATACTGGCAATCAAAATGTCGTGCATATATGCAAAGTGGGTAGCATGAAGCCTGATTTACATGAACTTGCTATGAATATTTATACAATTTGCATAGTTAATAGTATAACGATTGAAGTTGAGTGGATCCCAAGATCGGAAAACGTACAAGCAGATTACTATAGTAGAATTTTTGATTTTGATGACTGGGCTGTGTCCGACAGCGTTTTTAGTTTGTTTAATAACAGATGGGGAAAATTTACTTTTGACAGATTTGTAGACGATAAAAATCATAAGATTGCTCGATTTAATTCAAAGTTTTGGGTTCCTGGAACTCTAGGAGTCGACGCTTTCGCTTTCGACTGGTCAGGAAAAACAATTGGATTGTGCCCCCGGTTGGGTTAGTTTGCCGAGTACTAAATCATATGTTAACTTGTCGAGCAAAAGGTGTATTGATAGATCCTAAATGGACGTCTGCTTTGTTTTGGCCTATGGTTTGGAACAACACGGAAAATAAATTTTACGATTTTATTACAGATTTTGTTGAATTTGATCGTCCAAAACATTTCTTTTTATCTGGTTCAGACAAAGACAGTGTGTTCGCTCAATCCCCATTCATCAGTAACGTCCTCGTTTGTAAACTTGATTGTTCATCATAGGAGGTCACATTCTTTTGTACGGTTCAGTGCACTTTTTTACTATCGGTTGTAAATTTATTACTACAAGGTAAAATAAACGTGTCTAGGTAACTACTACGGAATGGACCATACGATTACATCTGTATACATTATTAGTTATATAAATTGATAGAATGGAGATGCATCTTGTGCAGTTTATGTTTGAGAAGCACCTTGTGCAGTTTATGATTGAGAAGCACCTTGTGCGGTTGAAGTACAAAAAATGCATCTTGTGCGGTACCTTGAGTGGTTTAACAGTAAGAATGCACCTTGTGCGGTTAAAAAATGAAATATGCATAGTGTGCGGTTATTGGATAAAAATGCACATCGTGCAGTTGTTAAAGATGCACTTTGCATGATTGTTATGTTATTATGATGCATTTTGATTTTTTAGCTAAGTTGTTGTGTTTAGTTCTATTTATGTTTCATTATTACAGGGCAGTGTAACATGGAGGGAAATTTCTCAGTTTGCGGATTCAAATCAACAATTTATTGGATGTGAAAAAAGCATTTTCAATATTGTGAGAAGCAGTAAAGCAATTTCTACAAATAAAAAGTATGATGTGTATTTCAAAAAATTTAAAGAATGGTGTGTTACATATAAAGTTATTCCGTTGCCCGCAAGTGTATCATCTGTTGCAGTTTATATTAGTGGCCTTGTACAGCAATCCGTATCTGAGTCAGTTTTATTAGCTCATTTTTATAGCATAAAGTGGTATCATGATTTCAATTTAGTGTATAATCCGTGCGAAGACAAGCTTATTCAGATGATGATTGAAGGAGCGAAGAAAATCCTTGGTAAACCAATATTGAAAAAAGAATCAATTACAGCAGATCATTTACAGAAGATAGTAGACAAAATTGGCATTGATCGTTCTCATTTGCCGAATGTTAGAATTTGTACAATGATGTTAGTTGGTTATGCAGGATTTTTACGCTACAGTGAGATTGCAAATTTAAAGATGTCTAACATAAAAATTTTTGACACTTATGTTTCTTTGAATATTGAATCCGGGAAAACTGATATATATAGAAGGGAAAATAATGTTATAATTTCTAGAACAAATTTGTCTACCTGTCCAGTAGTCTGGTTATTGACATACATTAATTTAGCTAAACTGTCTTCAGATTCTGATGAATATGTTCATGTGTTTTCCGTTCTGTTAGATTTTTGAAGTCAACAAATTCTTATAAGTTAGCAGAAGTTAATCGTCCTTTAACTTATACAAGAGCTAGGGAATTATTCTTGGGCACATTATCTGCGATTGGTCTTGATTGTAAACTATTTTGTCTACATAGTTTGCGCAGCGGTGGTGCCACTGCTGCTGCAAGATATGGTGTTTCTGATCGTTTAATTAAAGAACATGGAAGGTGGCGTACCGATTTTGCTAGAGACGGTTATATCAAAGATTCTGTTAAAAAGCAACTAACGGTTTCGTCAAATCTTGGTATATAACGAGTTATAAGACATTTTTTCTTTTGGTGTTATTATTTACTCACATTATTCAGCTCACGTACACCATTACTTGACTATTTTCCCTTTGTCTCGAGGTTATAGCGAGTAGCACACCTACATTTAATCTTTTGTTCTTTGTTAAGGCCATAGAATATAATTACTTTATATTCGGACGAACGTAGTGAGGGAGAATATAAATAAAATTTAGTTCGTTGTCCGTTCATGAATATTCATGACATGTGACCATTCGTTTGCACTTAAAACCCGTGCGGTCATCTTTCTGACCATCGACTCTCGCTATAGCCTAAAGAAGAGACACGTGTATTCACGGATGATTTAATGTATATTTGTATTTGTAATTATGATTACTATAATTATCATGTTTATATTTGATACATAAGATATAGAATTAAAGGTTATAGCGAGTAGCACACCTACATTTAATCTTTTGTTCTTTGTTAAGGCCATAGAATATAATTACTTTATATTCGGACGAACGTAGTGAGGGAGAATATAAATACATGTGAGTAATTTATTCAAACAATTCTTAATATTACTAAAAGGAAAACATATGGTCACGGTTACCTGATGAGGATAGGCCTAGGTCCAATAAAAGGTGTTTCGGTTAAGGTCGTATGGTCCATACGACCTTAACCGAAACACCTTTTATATTATAAGGAACACAGACTCAGCTCTGTGATTCTTTTCTAAGAATACACACACTATTTGAATAACAAGCATGTATGAGTTTCTTTAAAAGTACAAAAATAAATGCTGGAAAAAGTATTCCATAACAAAACATTATCATCATACATTGAGTAAACCAATTCTATATAAATAGATATAAGAAGATGTGGTATGAGTGCCAATGAGACAACTCTCCATCCAAGTCAAAATTTATAAAAGTAAACCATTATAGGTCACAATACGGTCTTCAACACGGAGCCTTGGCTCATACAGAACAGTAAGCTATAAAGGGCCCCTAAAATAACGTGTGTAAAACCATTCAAACGGGAAAACCAACGGTCTAATCTATATAAAAAACAAGATACGAGAAACACTTATGAACCACATCAACAAACGACAACTACTGAACATCAGATTCCTGACTTAGGACAGGTGCAAACAAATGCAGCGGGTTTAAACGTTTTAATGGTACCAAACCTTCACCTTTTTTCTGAAACAATAGTGTAACATCACAACATAGAAAGACACACTATAAAATATCAACTGAAATAGCTTAACTCAATCAAAGGACATATTAACACCATTGAACATACACTGAACAAATAAATTTGACCTATGATACAATGTAAATACAAAATAAATAAACTAAGGGAAGAATAATAAAAGTAACATGTTATATAGGTATGAAATGTTAAACAATTAAGGAAAAACAATCTGCTAGAACAAAAATATCAGCCGTTTGCAATAACTTTAAACACATGTAAATGAAAATAATTTTGTTGTTAGGTATACGTATACAGTTCCAATAGAGAAAGGAAATATTTTTACAAAATAAATAATTTTGATGTTCATAGTACGAAGTGAAAATTTATAGTAATACCAAACACTTATAAAAGCTGGTATATAGACCAGATATAACCCTGAATAACTTAAAATAACAAAAAAGCAATACAATTAGTATCAAGAGGTCAAATAAACAAGAAAGTACGATTTGAGAGTACTCGCAGTTACTGACAGCTAGTTAAAAGCCAAAACAATTAATAAATAACTCTAGATACATGTACATAAAAAATGGAATTTATTACAATGGATTATAATAAGATATACTGGATTGGTCCTGGACCCGACTGATTTTAATATAATTCGATGAGATGAAATACATTATGTACCATTTAAACCAAATTAATCATCATCATCTGGAAGTGAATCTTCTGAATTCAAAACTGCATATATTGCATACGTACAAAAACAATATAGGTTAAAATTGGAAAAGGTATTAAAGTGAAGTAAATGTTCATGAGACAATATACCTTAAGTGAAATGAAACACATTTTCAGACATTTCAAAAACATTAATATTTACATATGGTGTAGAATATATATTATTAAAAGATTTGGGAAGTTTTTCCCGAAAAAAATTTGAAAAAAGACGAATTTTGGTAGAATTTGGTACCACCTCATACTTTAAAACATGCATTTATAAGATGGTTTCAAAGACCTGCTGAGTTATTTATTTTCAATACATTGTAAGTCAGGTTATTTATTTTCAAACTACCACAGAACAAACCATTCATTTTTGTGATTATCAAGGCTGAGTTATTTATTTTCAAAATCCTCCTGCCCCCCCCCCCCCCCCCCCCCCCAGAATATCAAATGGTCGTCCCCTAAGTTCAGTGACCCAAAAACCAAGTTGAACTTCTGCCATGACAACAAGGAAGTAAAAATATATGTCAAATCACCATTTTGGCGATGATGGCTAAATCGTCTAATTCAGTCAGTATTGCAAAGGCACAAGTACCTGTTTCTTGTCATTTTTGCAACGGATTAGGGACCAAATGGAAATGTGAAGAGTGCGATGTTTTTATGTGTAGTTCCTGCAAAGAGAAAGTTCATGGAAAATTGAAGTCTTCTCATAGCCATGAAGTAGTTTCGATTTATGATACTTCAAGGAAAACACTTGCATCGAATGAAGTTGCATCTGAGGTAGTTACTTCGGTTTTCAATTCATATACAACTTCTGTACCAGCAGTTTCGTGTTTGTTATGCTCAAATGATGATACAATTTACATTCTCTACAATCACAAATCAACGGAATGTATATTTATTAAAGGGAAACTACTGAAAGCATCAATTAGAATACTAGAAACTCATACCCTACCAATGTTTGACTTTACATTGGATAGGAACGACGAAGTACTTTTTACAAATTTATCGTGTGAAGCAGACAGTCCTGTTCGCTTGATTTCATCGGGTGAAATCAGAACCGTAGTGGACCCAAAACCGATGCGATTAACTGCCTTACATATAAACAGAGATAACGAATTAATATGTGGTTTAAGAGAGCAGGGTCCACCTTTTCCAGTTCATGATTTTTCCGTCCGTCAAATTGTAATATTTGGTAGTGACAACCAAAGAAAAATTACCTTAGAAAATGATACTAAGGGGAGAAAACTATTTGCGGGTCCTGCTACCATCCGCACGGATTCACAAAACGTAATGTATGTAGCTGATTGGGAAAATAAAGACCAAATTGGAAAGTTAGTAGCTGTAGACAGAACAGGACATTTGAAATTTTCATACAGGGGACCGCCGGATATAAACAAAATTAGACCGTCGTCTGTTGCTGTTACACCAGAAGATAACATCATCCTGATGGACCAACGGAACAATGCTTTACATGTTTTGAATACAAAAGGAATTCTACTTGCGTTACAGTTTCTTAACGACTTAAATATAGGATATTCCAGTGCAATAGGTATTGACAATGAGGGATTTTTGCTAATCGGGAGTAACAGAAAGGATGGTAAAAATGGGGAAATTCATGTCGTGAAGATCGCAGAGCGTTTCAAGTGATAATAAGACCACTAATGAGTGACTATTTGATAACATGAACGTTTTATGAATTGCTCTAAACCAGTACTGTATACGAAAACTTATATAAATAAAATACATTAATTACTTTGTTTAATGAACAGATATATACATATCCTGCAGAGCCTCTTGACAAACAGTACTTTAGTAACGCCGTGTAGGGCCCTGACCAGTCTTCCCTCGACTTTAACCATGTGAAATAGCACCTTAAAAATCTGACTCAGCTTATGATATCCCATTAACATATTCTAGTACTGATATGCAAGTAGCACTTGCCATTGGAAGTTAAATACCTATCCATCCATCGAGAGAACTTGGTAGTAGTATATACATCTAGAAACACGTATCGTATTGACCGATACCGTTACCAACCATGTACATTCCTACTCTCGCAGTGACCCTAACCCTAACCCTAACACCATTAAAAATGTTACTGGACTTCAGATCAGACATTTGACAGTCATACTGATATAAAAGAAGGGGTATACAATATTCCCTGAATATATTTCACACCAGGGCCATTTTCAGAAGTATATCAATCTTTACTTAAATTAGTAGAAGCACAGCTCAATGTGTGTGCTTTAAGGTTCTAACAATACTTTGGTTTTTGATAGACAGGTTATAAAATTGCAAACGCATGAAGAATGCCCAAAGCCGGAATTTTTAGAGATTTTGGCCAATTTTGAGTATTTATCGAAAAAATGTATACATATCCAACTAAGTCAGACATCACGTGACTTTTGTGACGTATACTAACCGCCATTTTGTATTATATTGCCCCATATAAAATGCATAGGTGCTTCAATAAAGTTGAGTTTTCTCATGAACCTGACCCGTTTTCTAACTTTTGCAAATCAATCCTTGATATTCAAACATATTTCTATCAAACAATGTTGGTCCTAACAGTTTAATTTTTGATTAAATTCTGTCACTGGAGAATCGTAAAAACATGTACTTTTTCTCGTTATTTCTCCGTTGACTCAATGCTAAATTACCGATACCCATGTCTACTTGTATAACAAATAAAGAAATTCCGTTAATAAAAATAAAACTTTGCAACTCGATTAAGTATATTCAAACATATATCTGGCGAAAAATACTATTTAAAACAGTTTAATTTCTGGGCAATTTCGGTCAAAAATCGATTTAAAAAAGTGAATAT